ACAAAATGTATGAACCACTTTTATAATAGTCAAATCATCAAATTTGATACTACTTGGTAGAGAGTGTAATCTAAATGAGGACAGAAGTTAAGCCAATGCTTATATATACTTAATGCTTAAATATACTTACATGTGTTTATATGTATGCATATGCATGCATTTAAATATTTCATTTATATTGTTATAGATATACCGACATATATATATATATATATATATATATATACGTCGGTAACTACGATGTTTTTACTGGCGTTGTTTGTGACAAAATTATTACAGCATACTTTCAACTTACTCAAGCAATTATTAAGTTGCACACGTTCAAATAAGATTATTTGTGCTTGGCTTTTTAAATAAAAGATCTTATAAATAAAAACTAGTTGAACTAATGATAATAATAATCAAGCTAAACCAAAATAATACGAGCAACAAACTTTTTTTATAGTCCTCCTTATAATCACTCTTTTCAACCTAAAATGAATGCTTGTCAATTTAAATAAAAGCTATGGGTAAAGCATATTTTATCTAATATTTTCAACCAATAATTTTGTTTTCAAGAATATTTTATTATACTAAAAATATTTCCTAAAAATATATAATTCCTAAATCTTTAGGGCTTTTGAATCTATAAAGCCTTCAGAAAGGAATGTTCTTTATTGTTTTTCGGCCCAATCAATATAGCCCAACATGATAGCAATTGTAAAGTAAAAGTTTCTAATTAGAAGCTCCAAATGAAAATTCAGATCTCGAGCCTATACTAAGATCCGTTCGTCTAAAATTTAGATTTTATTTGAGACAACTTTCTTATTTTCTTAAATACAAAATTTTTTTTAACTTGAATTTTTGTTTTTTTTTTTTTTTTGGGAAAAATTGGGGCCTAAGCCCATTTCATTCCAAAGAAAATTGATACAAAAAATAAAATTTTTAACTACTGCCACAACCAACCAGCAGTAGTTAACAAAAAACTATCAGCAAGAAATGCTGCATAAGCAGAACAAAAACCTATACCAGATATCAGCTTAAGCTGCTGAACAAACAGAAATAATAAGAAAAGTCTGAGAACACATAACATGGCCGCACAGCATACCTTAACCAACCAAAAGTAGCATTCTTAATAAGCTGCTGAGGCAAAAAGGCCAGAAGTTGACAGAGGTAATCCGCAAAAATGAGCTCCCAGCCTGTGAAGAACCTGGGCTCAGATAAATAATAGAGGATACGCACTTTCCCTGGTTGCCACCGCGGCCATCCAAGGGAAATACCATAATCGGGAGAATCGTCATCGCCCAGGTAGGCTCCCCATGTAAACAAATTCCATCGCAACGAACAGAATAGAAGGAAGAAAATCCTTCCATAATATATAAGGTCTGCCAGCTTACAGTAACTCCACAAGCTCCCAAGAGTTCTCCCATTTTAATGTATTCCTCTTGATGTTATACAGCAGAGAAGTATAACAATTGACAGTATTACCAAACCTCCTTCCATTTCTTTCTTTCCAAATATGATATATTGCACAGCATATAATCACAAAATAAAAATTTTTCACCTTCAGATTCCCATGATAATGCACATTAACCCACTCTAAGACCTGCAGAATAGAAGGTCTGAGAAGAAAACTATTCATACCAGGAATTAAAGCAGTAAGAATATTGAAAGTGTAAGCACACTCAAAGAACAGATGTGACACTGATTCATTATGTGATTGGCACAGATTGCAAGTACCAGGCACCGAAATATTTCTAAGTAGCAGGGCATATGCAGTTTTTAAACCCCCGACAATAGCCAGCCATACAAAAATTGAGTGCTTCAGGATATGCCTTTTAGCCCACACCATTTTGTACCAAGAGCATGTATCAGAATCTTAGTAAAATTCATCTAAGAATCTACTATATTTATATATGCTCTGATTTTTCCATAGAAGACAAGGACCAGGTGTGAGACCTCGTTCCCTTACTGTTCCTCTCTGATTTGGATTTTTCCTCTCAGGATCGTCCAGGACGATTGGAAATCGTCCAGGCCGATCGGCACTGTAGAAACGAATCCTTTCACTATTTGATTCTGGGGCATCACACCTGGTGCCTCAATTTTGCTGTTAACAGCTATAATGTTTCTCAGATTCGAAGGAATAGCATTGGGCAGAGCCCAATTAGAACCTGTAATGACATCCTTTAAGCGTAAATCATGACAATACTCAATATAATTGCCCCCCAAAAATTCAGTAATGGTGGCATTTTGATACCAATGATCCCATAAAAAGGAAATCGGGAATTCTGGGTCACTTTGAAATTAAAGCAATGTTTCACCTCAGCAGTAGTTTTGCAAATAGATCTCCATGTTTTGGACGCCAAATTCGGTAAAGGTCTCCAAGGGGATTTATATTGATTAAGTAGCCAATTGGAGAGAGGCGTAGCACAATTATACATCCTGAAAATAACTGAGCAATTATACGCAAATTGCATAGCAAGTAAAGATGGAATGCCGAGTCCACCCTTACTCTTGGGTTTACAAATTTTATCCCACGAGACCATATGGAGTTTTTTTGCAGTCATGGAATCACCAAAGAACAAAAACCTAGAGCTGGTTTTTTTTTGATGAATTTATAGACAGATTTTGGTAAAATGGAGCCCCTAATCCAATATGCAATAGTGTTTTGGATAGTGAATTTGATGTATTGCAATCTACCCGCAAAAGATAGGAAATTGGCCTTCCAACCATTCATTTTCTTGTTGACATTGTCCATTAAAGGCAAATAATCAGCAATTTTCAATCTATAGAAAGATAGAGGGATGCCTAGATAAGTTAATTTGCTGACTATGTTTTGAATACCAAGAGTATGACATATGTCTTGAACATTATCTTGATTTCTGAAATCCTTAAGAATGTTGGCCAAAATATTGCAATTCTGAACCGTAGCTTCCCCAAAGATTAACACATCATCTGCATATAGCAGGTGTGTTAAGTTGTATTGATCAAATGCAATGCCAGTAAAACCTCTCGACTCCAAAAGATTAGAAAATGCATCCATCACTAAGCAAAATAAGTAGGGACTTAATGGGCATCCCTACGAAGACCAGCAGAAGAGGAGAAGTAACCCTCAAGAGCCCCATTTAGCACAATAGAGAAATTGACATCAGTAATGCATGCTTTTATCCAGTTAATGAAGATATTAGGGAAACCTTTTTGTGCTAGACGAGCAAGCAAAAATTCACGGCTAACAGAATCAAAAGCCTTTTTAATATCCAATTTAGCATAGAAAGTCTTCGTACCCCTTCTCTTCCCAGCAAAGTAAAGAATGTCATTAGCCAACAGAATATTATCCGTAGAAACTCTAGATTTGACAAAACCTGCTTGATTATCCTTAACAATCAAATTCATCACAAGTTTTAATCTCTCTACTAACACCTTAGCAATAATTTTGTATATGACATTACACAAAGCAATGGGTCTGTAGTCCGATACAACAGTGGCATTATTATGCTTGGGGATAATAGCCAGAGCAGTGGCTTTAACCCCGTTAGGCATGTAGCATTTTTGAAAAAAGGACTTAATATCTCTACACACAGAAGGTCCTATTATATGCCATGCAGATTTGTAAAAAAGGAAGTTAAACCCATCAGGACCTGGTGAAGCATTAGAGGAACCCGAAAAAACAGCCATTTTAACTTCTTCATCCAGCACTATGGATGAAATAGCATTAGCATAACTTTGAGGGAGAGGAACCCCAACCGGAAAACAATCCAGGATCAAATTAGGAGGCGGAAGAGGGTTGTACAAACCTTGAAAATATTGAATGAGGGAGTTAACAACATCAGATCTAGTATTGGAAAGGTTGTTAACAAGAAGATTAGCAACAGAATTTGAAGATCCTTTTCTGGATCTAATTTTTGCATATAAGAATTTTAAATCCTCCTCCCCATTCTTGATCCAGTTAACTTTAGCACGTTGAATAATCCAAGAAGCATGCAAAGAGTTGAATTTAGCAATTTTCACATTAATCTTCCTATAATCCTGGCTGATATTTATATTATAAGGGTCCTCCTGCAATTTCCCCAGTAAAACAGCTTGTTCCTTAGCTAAAGCCTCCATATGTCTAGTGATAGCCGTAGAAGAATGCCAAACCTGCTTTTTAATCTCCCCTTTTATAGACTTCATGTTTTTACAGAAATGGGAGAGAGGATTTCCTGAACAAGGTGATGAAAAGACCTCCAACAGAATAAACCAGTATTTGTCAATGTTAATCCAGTAGTTTTTGAAAATAAAACGATGATTAACATGAACATTCAATCCAGGTTGCAAAATAATAGGGCAATGATCCGACCCAGCAGGACTTTGAATAGAACAATGCGAATCAGTAAACATGTTTAACCAACCCTCATTGACAAGAACACGATCAAGTTTAATGTGTATAGGATTCACAGTGCGTTGGTTATACCAAGTATACTTAAAGCCAACCGAATGCAAATCCTTAAGGCAGTTACTAAAGATCATATTGTTAAAATCTAATAATGAAGATTGAGAGATAGCAGTACCTCTAATTTTTTCATTAGTATACCTACAGCAGTTGTAATCTCCCATCAAAGCCCAAGGAAAATCAGCCGCAGGAGCCAGCTGAGTAATTTCTTTCCACAACTCTTTGCGTTCTAAAGCACTATTGGAAGCATAAATAGCAGACAGTTGAAACAGTGCTTGGTTAGCAACCCAAATAGTCCCCGAAATTACTTGAGACGACATGTAGGATGGCTTAAAGATGAGTTTAGAGGCATTCCATTTGATCCATATCCGACCCGATGTATTTAAGTCGAAATTATTGCAGCTGGCTTCATTCACAAAGAGAGAGTGAGAAGCCTCAAAAAAAGGATCTAGAAGAGAAAGGGAATTGATCCTATTCTCCATTATACAGACCAAGTTTAGCTTGTGAGATTGAATGAGACGCTTAACACATAACACTTTATCAGGGTGATTAAAACCCCTGATATTCCACACAGCCATAGGTGGAAATAACATTATGAATACGAATGAGGAGGGGGTTTTTTGTTCTGTTTCCCCCTAACAGGTTTTTTAGATACCGCACTAGCTTGAGGCTGTTTAGCCTTTTCCATCTTTTGGGATTTCCCTCCAACAGAGGAGCTCTGTTTTTGGTTCATTTCTTCAACATCTTCAGACTGCTGATTATTGTCTTCCTCAAGAGAAAGGGCATCAAATTTATTAGGAGAGATTATATCTTTTGACTGCGTAGTGGATTTTAAAGATAATGTGGTAGAGGAAGTAGAAATGGCTTCATTTGGAGAGTTCAGGTTGGGGATACCCGATACAATGGCATCTTCCTTTAACAACATATTGCTAGAAGGAATGTCCCCAATAACAGTATCTATTTTGGAAGGCAGATTTTGAGAGGTAGGAGAGTGCGGCTGATAATGCAAAGGTTGACCTATTGCATTAGTAATTGGGGGATTATCGGGACTTGAAGTTTGGGCGGTGTTATTGTGGACAGAGTGATTAGCAGCAGAAGATGTAGGAGGCCTAGAATAGTTCATACTTCTAGAATTGTTTCTGTTACGAGCATTCCTGCTATAGCTCCTTCCACGGGTACCATTGATTTGCTTAGTTGAGACATCCTCCGTAGAGTTTATCTTTTTCGGACAAGAAACAGAGAAGTGCATGAGAGACTTACAATGTTCGCAAGGATGAGGACGCCATTCATATTGAACATGCAAACTAACAACATCTCCATCTAACGAAACATGTATCTCTTCCGGATAGGTGGCTTTATTGTCCACTAGAACACATATACGAGCATAAGTAAGCCGCGATTTTTCTTCTGTGAGCTTGTCTGCAGCCACCGGAACACCGATCTTGCTGGCTATGCGGGAGATACCCTCCGAATTCCAGCATGCAAGGGGTAAATCGTGGGTCTTCACCCAGATCGGAACGGACGAAAACTCTTCCTTCTTAGGAGTGAACTTGGGATGCCATTTTTGTAGTACAAATGGCTTCCCTAACAGGAACCAAACTCCCCTTGACCATACCATGTCAAAATCTTCTTGGCAAGTGAATTTAAGCAAGAAAAATCCATCATTAAGAGAAAGCAGCTTCAGCGAACCTTTTAAGCTCCATGTCTTGTTTATGGCCCCTAACAGAGCTTCATAGTATGGTCTGCGCCCAATCGAGTAGCCAAGCAGGCAAAAAGTCCAATCTTCACCACCTTTGCTCAGATTCTCACCGAAGAAGGGGATGATTTCAGGCTCAGATGGATGATGAGTAAATTGGAAGGCTTTTGGAGCACTACCCTCAGGAGCAAAAACCTTGGTCCAGTTTTTCTGAATCAAGGTAGGAGGGCCACCAGACGACTGACCCAAAGGGGGAAAATCCGAAGCACATAAAGCGACCTCCATAACAGGAAGAAAAAGAAAATAGAAGGAAGTCCTCCGGCCTAGCCGGAGGAGGAGGAAGAAGTCGGAGATTTCAGCAGAAGGAGAGGCGGCGCAGAGGAAAAAACCCTAGCGTGTAATTCCAGAGAAACAACTTGAATTTTTGACCTAAAACTGTTTTAAAAAGTAATAAGACAGTTATCTCAAACGAACTCTTAGACTAAAGGCTTTATTTGAGATAATTTTTTTTATTACTTTTTAAAATAGTTTTCTAATATAAATATTTTTAAAGTAGACAATTTTGTATTAAAAAGCTACTTTAGAAATCAATAAAAAAACCGTCTCAAACTATGCCTAAGGCTTCATGTGGGATAGCTTTCTTATTATTTTCTAAATAGTTTAAGTAAAAAAAATTATAATTGAGAGCTAGTTTAGTAAACAATAAGAAAGTTGTCCCAAATGAAATCTAAATAATTAAAGATTTAAGATGATAAACATATTCAAATAAAAAGCTAGCAATTATGAGCTATGTTAAAATGTAGAGAAATATGCTGTGAGATTTTATAAGAACTATGTTGGAAAGCATAAACTGATATGATTTATCCAAGTTATCTTCTAACATCTTATTTGGAGACTTGGGTGAAGATTCTCATAGTTTTGAACAATAAAATTAAAGTAAAATATTATAGCTATAACTAAACCATAAACTTGCTGTAAAAATGAATAAGTACTATTTATCTAAGTAAAAATTGGCTTCAATGACATATATTGGCATTTGGCATTGTAAATGGTATTGGAGTATTGCAGGAGCTTTGAGTATTATACTTTATAATTCGCTTGCTTAATTAGGAACTTTTATTTGATCCAGTGACCGAACGTAGAGCTACGTTCGGCCGGCACTTAGATCGCGCCACGTAGCAGGCACAAAACCACGTATTTGTTGATTTTGCTCGGAAAAAACGAGAAATACCATTATGCGAAGGCAAATACCGAGCAATACCGAGTAATACCGAGCAATACAGAGAAATACCGAGTTTTTTCTAAAAAAAAACTCGGTATTACTCGGTATTGCTCGGTATTACTCGGTATTGGTCTTCACAGAGCAGTATTTCTTGTTATTGCCAAGCAATACCGAGCAAATACCGAGTATCTCAGTGGTGACCGCACGTAGAGCTACGTCCGGTCACCGGACGTAATAATTGTTCCTTAATTAGAGCCTTTCTTTTGCATGTCTGAAAAATTCTCTACGTCAGGAGAATGGTGCTAATAGAATATTTCGAGCTCTTCGTCATTATTCCTGTATGAACAATTATTTAAAATAATTAAGAGATTAGCACATGGAGGAAAGGATCGTATATTTGGAACTCAAAAGTAATTTTGATGGCGCTCCTAAACTTATATCTATTTGTGTTATAATATTATTGATGATAGAGTTAGAGATTAAGGTTTTGTTTGTGGCGGTTTTTTTAATGATTTCTAAAGCAAGTTTGTAGTACAAAAATTTCTAGTTTAAAATATTTTTGTACTAAAAAGCTTCTTTTGAAAGCAGTAAAAAAGTCGTCTCAAATGAAGCCAAAATGTCTTAGGCATCATATGGGATTGCTTTCTTACTGCTTTCTAAATCAGTTTTTTAGTACAAATTTTTTTAGATTAAGAAATTTTTGTACCAAAAATTTGCTTTTAAAAATTAGTTTAAAAAATCGTGCCAAACGAAGCCTTAGTATTTTGTGGAGATTAGACAAATACACGTATAAAAGAAGAGTTACATGAGCAAACAAATTTTTTTATGTGAAAAGCTTAGGAAACAGAAAAAGTATGGTGCTTGACCAGGTTAAGATAATTTTATGACGGTTTACTATTGGTTACAAATCATATCCTTCCTCAGAGGAAGGTATTGATTCAATATAGTAAACATATATTTCATAGAACATATTAGATAGTTCAAGTAGGAAATGTTGTGGCATGAAAGTCATCTTTAAGATATCATTTGCTTATATGTTTGGTCGAGAGTAAAAAAGGGTCTCGATGACATATATTGGCCTTGTAAATGAACATCCACATTAATATTATTTGCGATTTTAGGTGATGAAGTCAGGGGGCATTAATGTAGTCAGACAACAATGGTCAAAACATTGTAGTCATGTGATGGTGGTTGGAGTACTGTTGTCGAACAACTAAGAAGGTCGACGTCGTTGGACAACAGACATTAGGACCATAATCAGGCAATGGTGATTTGAGGATTGTAATCAAGTAATGATGGTTAGAGGGGTTGTACTTTAGTGATGGAGTTAGAGAATCCTAATCAAGAGAAGAAAAGCAGAAGGTCATAGTCAGGATTCTGTGGTCGGAGGCCAAACCCGCGCCTCCCGCCAGCCAGCGAGCCTCCTAGCCTTAACCCGTGGCTCCCGCCAGCTCGAGGTTGCTCCCGCTAGCCCGAACCCGCCCACGTGAGCCGTTAGTCAACCCGAATCTGCCCGGCCCGCGACCGCCCGCGCTTCCCCATTTGGATTCGAACCCCCAACCTGTTTGAATAACTTCATGGAGCCTTCCACTTTGCTACAGTGCAAAAAGTATAAATAACTTATAGATTTTATATTTAAATATTATTAGCAGTATTAAAATTTAAAATAAATAAAAATATAATATTTTTGAAGTTAATAAATAAGACATTAAATTAATAATTAATTAAAATAAGTTATTAAATCAATATATAATTAATTAGTAATTTAACAACTTATTTTAATTATTTAATTAAGATATGTTATTAAATTAATAATTAATTAAAATAAGCTATTAAGTTAAGAATTAATTAAAATAAATTATTAAATTAATAATTAATTAAAATGAGCTATAAAATAACTAATTATTTAAATAATAAAAATTTATTTTTTCAGAAAATCTGTCGAAAAGTCCGCCGGAAAATCTTCAAAATAAATGGCGGAAATATTTCATTGTAATCTGTCAAAAAATCCATCGGAAATCAGTCCGTCGGAAAGCAGCCAGAAATTCCGCCGGTGATAGGCTATTTTCCTGTAGTGGTAGTCGGTGATGATGGCACAACAATGGTGTTCTAACTGCGTATTGATGGTGGTGGTCGGGTAGTGGTTCAACGACTGTGATTGGGCAATATATTGATGGTGGAAGAGAGCATTTATAGACGTTCATTTTAGGTATACAAACTTTAGAGAGCGCTTGGTCATCAATTAATTCTTTGAAGTTTCCAATTGCACTTAAAACACTCGATTTAAGTTCTTCAGATTCTGGTTTAACCATTTTTATTATCATTGGATTCATCTCATTGAGATGTTCAATTCAATTATAAGTTAGCCTAAATCAAAGTTTGAATTATCCTTAATCTAATTTTGAAATTTTTCAATTCAAAATTGCCTTGAGATTCATGCCCAATAATCAAGATGATTTTTTACAGCGAATTAGTTACCCTCCTCTTTTTAGACGTCAAAGCTTATTTCGCTCGAATATATATACTTAAACCTCCCAAAAGTTTGCAACACAAAATCATAATTTAAAAATTAAAAAAAAATTACGACTTTCTCTTAGGGTTGTAAACTAGTAAAATCTTTTTAATTATAATTTTAATATTTCATAAAATTAACGTGTTCATTGGAGCAAGAAAAAAAAAATTGCTTCGTAATTTTTAGAATTGCTTTTAGACTTCTAAAATACTAATATTAAATTTTTTTTAAAAAAATCTGAATACGATTCTTATCAGAATATTCTGACTTTTTTTTTCCATCACATTTTCAATGGAATATGCTGAACATAATAATTGTTTGGCATGCATGATTTGCGTTTAAGTTGAGTTCATCATTATGAGCAATAGAATACCATATTACCATGCTTGCATTATTTAATTTGGAATCATTGCCTATCACATTATTTAACATAATAAGTGAAGCACTTTCTGATATAACTAATAATTGGCAAAATTGAAGTAAGATACTTATTCTATTTTGTCTCTACTTCATTAAAATCTTGACTAAACATTTTAATTGGTTGGTTTCATATGTTAATGAAACAAATATTTGATTGAAATAAATTAATTAATTATTATTTTTTTCAATTTAAACATTCTCCGATGAGTCGTAAATGTTTTTTTTTTTTTGCAGTGTGTATATATTATACTGTAATGAGTCGTAAATGTTAAACAGATTTAAAATTCAAAATTAAGAATTTATTTGGGACAGCTGCAATTTTTTATAAAGGCAATTGTAAAGCTGTTGTGCAGAAGATCGATATAGTGAGTTTTACATTGAGTTACTAGCGTATATTTCCGTCGGAAATTTCAGTGGAATACCAGCAAAAATTTCAACCTATATTATGTCAAAAATTCCACGTAAATATATGTCGGTAATAGCCCCAAATACATCGCTTTTTTCAATGTAAAATCCGTCGGAAATCTACTAGAAATCCGCTGGTATACTTGCCGACATAAACAATTCATCAGTTTCTGACGCCGTATTTTCCTTCAAATTAAGTTCCGTTGGAAACGATCATTTCGGACGGATTTTCAAGGTTTATATGAGGATATGTTTGTCGAAAAACCATGCATTCCCAATAGTGTTCATCACTACCAACATCAATGCATGTCATTATCTATATAGTTACGGGTGATCAATATTTGACATGACCCGAAAATCAGACTCGAACCTGACTTGAAAATTTCAGATTAGGGTCAATCCGAACCCGAAATGGGTCGGGTTCAGGTTCAACATTTCTACCCATTTCACAAATCGAGTCGGGTTCGGGTTGACCCTTTTACCCGAAATCGACCTGAAATTGACCCATTTTTTATCCGAAAAGCCAATTTTGACCCGACAAATAGAGATTAACCCGTTTTTTACCCGAAAAGTGGAGATTGAACTTTTTTTAGACCTGAAAACTAGCAATTTCTTGTTGGAAACAGGTCATTCAAGTCGTGTCGGGTTCGGGCCCGGAAAACTGACCCGTTTCAAAAACGGGTCGGGTTTGGTTGACCCGAATAGTGTTATGTCAGTTTGAATTCG